GTTCTTATGTTCTTATGTTCTTAATCAGTTACTCCTCCTGGTTATGAAGCTCTTCAATTCCCCTTTGTCGGTTAGGTTTGACTGTGTTATTTTGGGGTGGATGGCTGCTGTTCATGAGCTCCACTGTTACTGCTGCCTAAACATCACAGAATCAGTACATTTATAGTATAAGAAAAGTGGATATTTGCACCCACATTTGCCAGTGTCAGCACAGTGGTTAGCACTGTTGTTACGCACCTCTGGGACCAGGATTTGAGCCTCTGCCTTGACTCTTTTTCTACCAACCTATGAAATGGCAACATGGGCTAAAACTGTGAGTCTCACAGATGAAACATGAGCCTTGATGCCTGTGTTTATCTGTTTATCTCGGTGTCTGATGATTCCATCAAGCTTGGGTTTAAAGTCTCTTCCTCCACGTACAAAACCCTCCTTTAACAATCAGGCCATAACTCTGTTTACAGAGATAAGCTCATGGTTGAGTGTAATTGCTCTAGTGTACTATAAGCCATGACAGTATAGTAAGCTTTTAGCTAGGTTAAACATCAACCTTATTAAAGGAAATGTGGCAGAATCACCTAATAACTCCAACTGATGGTTCGGGCCCAAAAGACATCCCAATCCCTGACTCACTGAGAGAAATAATACTGAATGTCATGTACGTTTATACATTTATAGAGATAAGGCCATGTACAGTACCAGTCAAGGGTTTGGACCCGGCAAACTGCCTACAAAAGAGAGCGATAGTGTCACGTCACATGACATGCCCACCTGATATGTAGAATAACTTCGAAGGAATTTGAGGAATTGAGTGAAGGAAAAGCAGCCAATGAATGCTCAGCTTATGCGGGAACTCCTTCAGGACAGCTGGAGAAGCATCGCAGGAGGCCACCTCAGCCAGCCCCTGGAGCGAATGGGGCTAAGGGCCTCACTCAGGGGCCCAATGGTGCGATCACTTTCCCGACCCAGGGATTTGAACCAGCAACCTTCCCAACCCACAGAGCTGCCCCCCCTCCAAACAATATTTTTTTGTTTAATACTTTTTTGGTCAGCGCACAATTCCATATATGTTATGTTATAATTTTGCTGTCTTGATAATTATTCTGCAATGTAGAAAATATTACAAATTAACTGTTCTCTGGGGAGGTGTGTCTAAACTTTTGACTGGCATTGTAGGTCATCCAGACTAGTAAAAAGAAATAGGCAGTCAGACACCAAAGGAATACAGTAAGCATATAGCTATATTAGACATTAACCACTTTCAAGAAACACTACATTTCCCTGGGTCCTGCTGCACATCTTCCCACTAATAACCATTTGGGCCTAGGAGACGTCCCAAAGCCTGACTCATTGAGAGAAATCACGTGTGACGTCACATTCTCACGTGATTTCTTTAATCGGCATCTCTGCACCGGCATGCCGAAAAAAAGCTGAAAAGTAAAAGGAAGTATTTATCATGGCTGTGTTCACCAAGCGTATCGTTTTTATGCTGATATTCATCAAAGTGTGCGGTAAGGAAACGCAAATATTTGTTCCTCTCTTTTGGAATTACTACGTGTGAAGTTGAGAAGTAACAGTGAAAGAAATAAGTTGCGTTAAAAGCTTTTTTTTTAAACTGAGTTGCTACAAACTACTCAGAAGACAGAAAGTAACAAGTTGCCCACAGTGTGAAGCTACAGAAAAAAAAATTACATCGTTGCAAATACACAATCGTTTTGAATGAAGGTGTTTTCTTAGAGTAACCAGTGAGATTACTACTTACACAGTTTAACTTCTGTAATTTACTCAGTGCATTGTGTGTTTCTGTACATGGCCACCATTTATCTAGGAATTTACTATTTTGAATGTAATCAATGTCTATGTAAATGTTTCAGATTTAGCAAAATATCTGAAAATACTCCTGGCTCTGGAGGTAAAAAATGAAACTGATTTGCATCCTTGTTTTCAGGAAGTGTGCAATAATTCTGTCTTTACAGCTATCTGGTCATGTTGTGGTTTTTTGTTTTGGTTGTGAAAGGGATTTATAACCAAATCTAGATTCTTGTTTTTTTTTTTACTTAAAACAAGCTTGTTGTAATTTTTTGGTTGTCAAAATGGCCGCCAAGATGACAAAGTGAGTGTGGGGGATGGGAGAGCAGAGTATGGTTATTGCTAATGCTGTGTAGGTGACCAGCGCCCTTATGAAGGGTGAGGCTCGGGGGGCCGTGATACAGGTCTACTCTAGGGTGACCACCTAATCCATGTCAGGAGGGACACTATGAGCTACTTCAGCTTTTACGAACTACTTTAAAGCTGAAAGGGTTCTGTGCTCTGATAAAATGTGTTAGTTCCTAGATTGAAAGACTCATCCAGCTGTTTCGCATTAACATTACTGACACATATGCATGATTATAGGAGACTGACCAATCAGCACACGGCAAGAACCCAGTGCTTAAGTGAAATCCTGCTCCTTTTAATTGAAATGTATGAAATGGTGGTTTACAAATCCTGTTGTAGCTCATAGTGTCCCTCCTGACATGGATTAGGTGGTCACCCTAGTCTACTCCCAGTGTGAACGTGTTTGTTTCAGCTGTTACTTACATCTGACTTTGATATTTTATGTTCTGCAGGCTGCACAGTGACAGAGAGAGATGTATATACTTGCTGTGAAGATATATATGCCAATGGGACGTATAAATATTCAATCAACACAAACTGGACCACGGATGGACTTCACAGTGAGGAATGGGTCAGTAAGGTAAGTGCTGAGATAACACCATTAATGCAGGACACACGAACGAGTGAAGTATTACGATCATTTGTTCAAGAAATCCAGGTGTTTTCATAATCATGGGAACCTGGGGCACAAAATTCAAATAATCTTTTTTTTCGACAAATAGGAGGATTCAGTTTGAAGAGAATCAGCCAGTCAGTCGAAGTGACTCTTCACCTTGTGTCTCATGTGATGACCTTGTAAACTTGTCAAACCACTGTCACCTTCCTGTTGTCTCACAGAAAATCCTTCTGGCATTTATCGAATACGTCCCCTTTTCAAGAAACTCGAGTGCTGAGGTAGAACAGGTCCTCTCTGGGAGCATCTACCTCAAACGATGTCTTAACCTGACTTACTCTGCTACTGATGACGAGTTTAAGGTAGGCTCTCCTATCTCTCCATAGCTTGTGACAATGGCAAAAATACTGTGCATGTTGTCAACCATAATTTTACTTTTCTTTTTTAAATTTCAGGAACTTCACATGCACTTCATTGTCACAGGTAAGGGTTAACAGTTTGGTGGTAGTTTTGTCTTGAGTAAATCGTTCTATAAACTTTGTAGACCCAAATCTTACACTGTAGATTACATGTGCAGAGTATTTCAAATCAATGAGGCTATTCTGCTGTCTTATGCCAGGATGTACTGAAGAAGAACAGAATAATGCATATAAAGTTACATCTAACTTACACTGCTTGGCTGTTTTGGGTGAGTCTCTCTTTGTTTCAGAATAAAATCTAGAGTGTTCTCCAGCTGCTGCTATGGCACGGATGTTAAATGCAAGGGCCACATCCAAGTGTTACCACCCTACCTTGTACCAAGTGGTTTTTACAGCACTTGGATTTTTATGTTTGGTGACTGAAGATAAAACGTAATTCTTCTCATATATTTGAGTGGCTTTTTATTTTAGGCATCCATGTATTATTATTATTATTAATAATAAAACAAAACAACAATAATAATAATAATAATAATAATAATAATAATAATAATAAAGTGTTTGTACCTTTGTAGTTCCCATCATTGGGCTTGCGTGCGTTTTGGGGATCGAGTGGAAAACTGGGTGAGTTTTAAAATGTAATATATACACTACAGTGTAACTGGCATTGATTATAATTATTTAAAACTGACTGGCTTTGTGCATTACGGATATTGCAGACAAGGGGGGTCCATTTTATCAGGGGGGTGTCAAAAATTATTTTAAACTCAAGTAGCTTTTAAATGGTGCTTCTAATAGTGAGAAGAATAAACTAACCTCTCACTTTTGCTTTCAGCTGCCTCAGACGGAGGTTCTCACGCCGTAGGAATAGGTGGAGGCAGCCTGCAGATGATCAGAATATGACCAGGAAAGACAATGAGACATTTTGTTAGTTGAAATAGTCATCCTCTCTCCCTCTGGTGTAAAATCAACTCATTTAAAAAAATTATTTGGTTTTGATTTCTAACAAAGGCTAGATGTGGTAAAAGAGATTTTTATTATACAGATAACATTTTATACTTATAATCGCTCTTTCACCAGCAGACATCGTTTCTCTCATAGGCACTCCCTTTCTTGGTAAAATATGTCAGTTTTTTCCTCCTTCGGTAGAGCATAGTATAGTATAGTATAGTATAGTGTAGCATAGTAGAGTGTAGTATAGTGTAATATAGAGCAGTGGTCATCAGGTTGTTGGGCATCAGCTAATTGAAGCCCACAGGGAACCAGTCATGCGGTCTGGATTTGATTTTAGTTCCATCCACATGCAGACCAGAGTCGGCCAGTTGGTGACCACCGGTATAGAATATGTTATAGGGAATTATAGGTATGTGGCAGAAGATTCAGTAGCAAGATTGATTATTAACTTTATAAGCTTCATATGTAGTTTATCCATATAAGCAGCCTCTCGCATTGATAGAAAGGCCGCATTCAGCCGTGGACATGCCGGGCTGGCTGTCCATTCCTGACGGACCTCGCCGGGCATTTCCGACACAGTGCGTGTGACAGCTGTACCTTGGATCCCCAGGAGGCATGTCAGGGAGAAAGGGACTGGTGTGGGTCTTACGTCAGGGGCGGGGAGAGCAGGGCAGCCCTGTGGAAGGGTTACGTCACTGCTCACCCGTACAGGAGATTAATGCTAATATAATTTCCCTGTGTTAGGTGCCCCTATGCACTTAAACTATAATAATAATAATAATAATAATAATAATAATAATAATAATAATAATATATAAAGACACATATAAACATACATTTATATACATATACAATTTTCTGTTGGCCGTTGCTAAAGGCAAAGGGCTGGAAATGTAACTCACCATAACCACATCACCACAGCAAAAGTAGATTTGAGGTATGTGAAACTGAATTGTTTATTTGTTTGTTTGCTTGTTTTTGACTTGTGTTGGACCACCATGCTGCCTGCTAAAATGTTTGTTTCATGTCTGGTCATATGAGTAACTAAAAATAAAAACGCTAGAAAATCAAAGCTTAAACAAAGTTTAACAAATGTTAACTAAAATGTTTATTATTGATTTTCATTTCTCTTCAGTGTTTTCTTTTGAGAATATGGAATACCATATATAAGCAAAGAAATAAATATTTTAAAAATTAAGTGAACATGCCATTTTATTTAAAAATAATTTAAATGTATTTTATTTCATAATAATGATGTCGTTTCTATGTAAGATGTTTAAATTGTACTTCTAATAACGTGATTTTCATTAAACAGTCATTATTATGAATTATTGTTGTGCAGAATGCAAATGTGATTACTTAATTCAAATTATATGTCACAATGCAGTTAAACTTTTCACATTGATGTATTTCTGAATGATGGTTTTCCGAACCAGCTTTCTATTTCACAATGCTGTTTTTCATTATGAGAGTATAGAAATATCCTGAGAAGCAAGGGATGACGTAAGGGAAGCTAATATATGCACCGATTAGCTGAGCAAACATAAAGAGGAACTTCAAGATAAAAAACCTTGAATTGGAGATTGAATATGTGGCAGCACTTTCCTTGAGGGGACATGAATAATGTAGCAATACACGCTTACTTAATGCATTAATTAACAAGTAACTAAGTGTTAGTTACATACTGATCCCATGCTTGTTCATCATTAATCAACACAGAGGCTAATCCTTTCTGTCACTTAAACAGCGGTGGGTTTATTTGAAGAAGAAGAAAGGAATCTTGGCCAGATACAAGACAGCAAGGCTAAAGCTCCATATACATATTCACAACCCTGCCAACAGTCTCTGTGCTGGTTCCTCCCAAAGGTGATTGATGCGGTTGAGGTCAGGGCTCTGTGCAGGCCAGTCAAGTTCTTCCCCACCAAACTCACCCAACCTTGTCTTTATGGAACTTGTTTTGTGCGCTGGGGCACAGTCATGCTGGGACAGAAAAGGACCTTCCCTGAATTGTCCCCACAAAGTTGGAAGCATAGAATTGTCCAAAACGTCTTGATAAGCATACCAACACATTCTGGATAAGTCTATGCTTCCAGATGTGTGGGAGCAGTTTGAGGAAGGCCCTTTTCTGTTCCCACATGGCTCCTGGGTCATCGCAATCTTCTGGACTCCACACCAGTCACCCTTGTTTCCCTACATGCACGTATCCCAAATACTCAAAGTTAACTCAACCCTCTTGGTTTAGTGCGGGTGAAATACTTGAGTACATTATCCCAGTAAGTGAAAGATTACATAGTAAATATAAATGAACTGATAACTATGTTGATATAGAAATGAAACAATTCCCTTAACAATGCATGATTAGATTTCAATATTGGATATTATTCCTTTCCCTTGCAGGACCCAGATCACACTACTGTCACTAAGACTAGTTTGGCATGTTCTCTAATGCTATTGGGCAGTTTCCTGTTTTTCCCAATTTCTTAGAACATCCACAATGTCCTCTCCTCCATCCTGCTGCGTTTGTTTCCCCAGTTTCCTGTTTGGACATTTCCAGAACTGTACACACCAACGAACAAGTCAAAGCTTCACCACAATCTCATCATCTACCTCTCCTTCAGGACCATAGATCCTCTTCCACCCTCATTCCTCCCTTTTCAGCGCGTCAACCTACGGCATTTGGTAGTAAAGTAGTAACTTAAAAAATAAGCTGTGTTTAATGTTCTTATGTGGAAATGTTCTAAAACGAGCTTTTTAATTATCCTGTCAGTCCATCATTTTGACATCGTTTGGTTTGGCCACACAACAACCCATGATAATTTTCATTTCACAGCCATGAGATGGCGCCGTAGGCAAAAAAAAAATGTGAGCCTCACAGATAAAAGATGAGCCTTGACGCCTGTGTTTATTTGTTTATCTCGGTGTCTGATGATTCCATCAAGCTTGGGTTTAAAGTGACTTCCTCCACTTGCAAAGGCCTCCTTTAGCAGTTAGGCCATAACTCTGTTTACAGAGATAAGCCCACGACTGAGTGTAAATGCTCTGGTATACTATAAGTCAAAAGAATACAGTGAGCATTTAGCTAGTAAAAACATAAACCTTATTAAAGGAAATGTACTAGAAACACTACATTTCCATGGGTCCTATGTCTTCCCACTAATAATTCTAACTGATGGTTCGGGCTCAGGAGACATCCCAACGCCTGACTCATTGAGAGAAACAATGCGTAATGTCACATTCTCGCGTGACTATGTAGCTCTTCTGCGACGGAATTGCAGCATCTTCCAGCGACAGCTACATGACTCACCCGAAAATGTACCGCATGGCTACTTTCACTGGGATTTTCTCCTTTATGCTGATATTCATCGACACCTACAGTAAGTAAAGGCAAATATCAGTTGCTCTCTTTGGGAATTATCAGATTTGGTAGCAAAAAAATATAGTTCTTTGCAAGGACAATTAATTGACAAGATCGTTTTGAAGATTGTTTTGGGTTTTCTTAGAGTAACCAGCGGCCTTTTCATGTACATAAAAACATTGTGTGTTTCAGTACAAGGCCACGTACCACTTATCTAGGAATTTACTATTTAAATGTCTATGTAAATGCTGCCGGTTTAGCCAAATATCTGAAAACGCTCCGGGCTCTGGGTGTAAAATTGGGAGTGACTTTAATCCTTGCTTTTAGGGAGGGTGTATTATTTAGCCTGTAATTAATGTTTATGTAAAAACCGGGAGTAAGTTGCATTCTCGCTTTGAGGAAGCGCATAGTAATGCTCCGTTTATGTGGTCAGGTTGTGGTTTTTGTTCGTTGTTTTGTTGTGAAAGAGTTCTAAATACAGCTTTCAAATGTGTTTTTTTATTATTTAAACAATCTGATTGTTTGGAGGAACCACAAAATGGCCGCCAAGATGACAACGTGAGTGTGGAGGTGTGGGGGATGGGAGAGCAGAGTGGGGCTATTGCTAATGCTGTGTAGGTGACCAGCGCCCTTAGGAGGGGTGAGGCTCGGGGGGCCGTGATACAGGTCTACTCCCAGTGTGAACGTGTTTGTTTCAGCTGTTACTTACATCTGACTTTGATCTTTTCTGTTCTGCAGGCTGTACAGTGACAAAGAAAAGCGTAAATATTTCCTGTGAAGATATATATGCGAATGGGATGTATAAATATTCAGCCGACACAAACTGGACCACGGCTGGACTTCACAGTGAGGTTTGGGACAGTGAGGTAAGTGCTGAGATAACACCATTAATTCAGGACACACGAACAAGTTAAGTATTAAGGTCACATGTTGAAGAAATACAGATGTTTTCAAAATCATGTGAACCTGGGGTACAAAACTGAAACAATCCTTTTCCCACAAATAGGAAGATTCAGTTTGAAGAGAATCAGCCAGTCAGTCACTGTAACACCTTGTGTATCATATGAGTCAGTCTAGTCCTTGAAAACTTGTGATGTAAAACCACTGTGACCTTCCTGTCCTCTTACAGAATGTCCCTCTGGCAAGTATCGAATACTTCCGCCTTCCAGAAAACCGGTCCACTGAGGTAGAACAGGTCTTCCCCGGGAACATCTACCTCAAAACATGTCTTAACCTGACATACCGTGCTACTGATAACATGTATAAGGTAGGCTCTCCTATCTTTTTAGTAATAGCAAAAACTATTGTGCATGTTTTCAACCATTTAAAACAAAATATTAATTTTAGATTTCTTTTTATATTTAAGGAAATGCATGTCCAGTACATTGTCATGGGTAAGATGTTTGATTGTAGTTTTGTTTTGTGTTTTGTAAATCTTTTTTGTAAATTTTGTAGATCCAAATTGTACACTGTAGATTACATGTGCAGAATATTTCAAATTAATGATGTTGTTCTATTGTTTTATGCCAGGGCGTAGTAAAGTAACATCAGAAGTAACATCGGAAGTAACATCGGAAGTAACATCTCAAGTAACATCTAAAGTAC